ATTAAGATTTTTGCCAGCATAAACCTTTTGTGATATTTCTGTAGTCCCAGGTTTCTCCAATATTTTTCAAAACAATGCCTCAATATGTGTGTGAAGATACTTCAGATGACTTCACGTGCAGAGGACATTTTAATCGAAAATGTTTTTCTCACAGCACAACACCAAACAGACGAGTTACCTAGCAACATTGAGTGCTTATTCAAACTTGTCATCTTGATAAAACACGAGAACGACCCAAATACACGAACAAAGATGAGAATTAAAGAGAGTTTTTGGCTCTGTTTTTATTTTCTGTTCCTTTTTTTCTGTTTATTCAAGGCATTAGCGATGGAAATAGCGGTGTCTTATAACCACACTCCATCATCCAATATTTGAGATGGCAAATACTAAACAGTGAAATAGTAACACATATTCTATTTTACCTAGAGATAGAATATGAGAAGACTTTTTCTAAATATGTCACAGATACCCCCAGAATGAAAGATAAAAATACTGAACAATAGCGGAAGTGTTTTTGTCGAAACTGCTTGGAGACATAAAAGAACACACTCTTTAGGATCCAAGTGTTCACAAGTGTTCTTAACGAAACAAAATTACCATTATGACTTGAAAACTAAAAAGGGCTAGGAACTAATATCAAATGCTAAATAAATGTCAAAAAGATTGATTAATTATTTGTATTTTCTAGTGTTATATAAGGAGTGTTCCCCTCGCTCTGTTCATTTCTCATTGTGTGGACAGTCATGGCGTTTGCCCAGCAATTGTGCAGTGGTCTGGTACTCCTCTGTTTTGGTGAGTGAACTGACTCAACTATGGTTCGTTTTTATTCCAAGCACGACGGCGAATTATGATTATTAAGGAGGGGGTTGAATAGGCTTTCGCATCGACGGATTTGGCCTTAAAAAGCGCTCGGATTGTGCATTTTTGCGGTAAATCGAACGGATGAATTCGCGGATTTTGAAAACACAGTGGATCGTGGATCAGCTGTAAATTTTGGCGCGGATTCCGGATTGTACCTGCCTTGATGTTCGGATCTTGGGTCCTAAACGAAATTTGGATCATAGGTCTTTCTTCAGCCTTGGTCGGTATGTTAATGAGTTCATCCAAATTATTTCTTTTTTCGAACGAAGCTCATTTCAACTCAGGTGTGAGACTGTTATTGGAATTGTACTGTATTATAATCATCAAGCATGTTGCCTTCTTTAATATTTGTGCGAAATTAACAAGGGCATTCACATTTACCAGTTTACCTTTAAACTTTTACACTTCTGTTTTCGGATGTGGTTGTGGTTTCGGATTTGAACAAAAATATTGGCGGATCGACGGATTTGGCGGAAAAAAGGCACGNTTTTTTTCTGTTTATTCAAGGCATTAGCGATGGAAATAGCGGTGTCTTATAACCACACTCCATCATCCAATATTTGAGATGGCAAATACTAAACAGTGAAATAGTAACACATATTCTATTTTACCTAGAGATAGAATATGAGAAGACTTTTTCTAAATATGTCACAGATACCCCCAGAATGAAAGATAAAAATACTGAACAATAGCGGAAGTGTTTTTGTCGAAACTGCTTGGAGACATAAAAGAACACACTCTTTAGGATCCAAGTGTTCACAAGTGTTCTTAACGAAACAAAATTACCATTATGACTTGAAAACTAAAAAGGGCTAGGAACTAATATCAAATGCTAAATAAATGTCAAAAAGATTGATTAATTATTTGTATTTTCTAGTGTTATATAAGGAGTGTTCCCCTCGCTCTGTTCATTTCTCATTGTGTGGACAGTCATGGCGTTTGCCCAGCAATTGTGCAGTGGTCTGGTACTCCTCTGTTTTGGTAAGTGAACTGACTCAACTATGGTTCGTTTTTATTCCAAGCATGACCGCAAATTATGATTATCAAGGAGGGGGGTGAATAGGCTTTCGGATCGACGGATTTGACCTTAAAAAGCGCTCGGATTGCGGATTTTTGCGGTGAATCGAACGGATGAATTCGCGGATTTTGAAAACACAGTGAATCGTGGATCAGCTGTGAATTTTGGCGCGGATTCCGGATTGTGCCTGTCTTGATGTTCGGATCTTGGGTCCTAAACGAAATTTGGATCATAGATCTTTCTTCAGCCTTGGTCGGTATGTTAATGGGTTCATCCAAATTATTTCTTTTTTCGAACGAAGCTCATTTCAAGCTCAGGTGTGAGACTGTTATTGGAATTGTACTGCATTATAGTCATCAAGCATGTTACCTTCTTTAATATTTGTGCGAAATTAACAAGGACATTCACATTCACCAGTTTACCTTTAAACTTTTACACTACTGTTTTCGGATGTGGTTGTGGTTTCGGATTTGAACAAAAATATTGGCGGATCGACGGATTTGGCGGAAAAAAGGCACGAACATACCCCTATTCATCCCCCTCATTAAGCCTGGCAGATTACATTTTAATGTGTTCTCATCTACAAGCCTCTCTCCGAAGGTTTATTTGTTGCGTTTAAGATAACAAAGGTTCGGTTGGAGAATTGCTATTATATTAAATATATTATATTTTGTCGTGCGAAAAGTTACCGTCTCGCAAAATACGATACAGATAGGTACTTACGTTGTAGTTGTTTTCGTACTGAGCTACATAACTTACTGGCGTTTGGTGCGGAATGTTTTAAAGATTAATACTCATTAGAACGTTGCGCAAGATTAGCTTTTTGGTCGTTAAATTAGAGCAGGCAAAAGCGACTAGAAGAATTGACAACGGCATAAAACTAGAAAGAAAGGAAAAAGGAGCGACAATGCCAATCAGAATTCGAGCTTTTCCTCGTTGTCTGGTTTCAGGCTGCGTGACTCTTGGCCAGTTTGCTCGAAGTTCCGGAGAAAATTTTGTTTCCAATTTTCAAAATGACATATTTTCAGTTTAATTTGCTGCCTTGGAAGCTTGGCGCAGAGCAGTTCAAAGTGTAGATAAATGTTTCTAATCGCATGGTGTGATAAACATCTATATAGGTTTTTTATACTTGAACATTTTCACAGCGTAACTAAAAGGATTGAACACTATACAACTTACTTTATTAAACTCAAAGAAAATTTTACTGAAAACAACACATGCATAAAGTAAGGAGGTGCCATATGTCTATGCAGTTGTGGTCTCAGTTTACAACAGTACGAATCGATTCCGTCAAGAAAGAGCAACATAATTTTACTGTCGTATCGAATAAATTTTTCTTTACCACCCACAAAGCCATTATTATGGGTAATGACGCCGATGGGTCACGAATGCGCCGCAATATTTGATGAAGGCCACTTGTGCTATGCAGAGATATTGCAGTCAACATTTCAGTATCAATAAATTCCAGCATGTGATATCTAAATGTAGAATCTATTTCATATTTAAGCTTCCAGGAATATCGGCTTCTTACTAAGATGGCATCTGTTTACGCAGGCTAAACAGACTTCAGCTTCTCTTTATAACGAATGTCCCCGCGATGCGAGATGAAATTCACGGCAGTTAATTCAGTGACAGAATCTTTCTTAAAATTTTGAGAGCTAGTGGCTTGGCTTCTTTGAAAGTTAAACGATTTCTAAGACCCAAAGCACTGGTCTTCAAGTAATCATGATGTCACGGTTGGTTTTTTTCTTGTGCGTACTATATATTGATAGCAGTTTGCGATATTCTGCTGATGTTGGGTGGATGACCAAATTACAAGCGACTTGAATTTTATAAATATCACCAGTTTCAACTTTTGTCGTGTACTGAAATAATCCCACGTGCCGAACCTCAAGTACGGAGGATTATAAACTCGAGGGTTTCTTGCATCATAAACCTTTCCTGACCTGATATTCATACGTAATTTTAGCACTGTATTAGTTACCACACCTTTTCCTCAGTCTAGTATTACAGAATATTTTCTCTGCCAAATGCTTGCCTGTTCCCTAAAATCACCTCCTGGCATCTATTTTAACAGGTTTTTTATGGTTACAACTGTTTCTCTATTTTAATAAAGGTCACCTGGTGATTTTCCACCATTATAATTATTATGATAGCGATGACATGATAATCAGTTTGTGTATTAGTGGAATCCAGCGCTGATACTTCTCACTATAGTTTTCATCATTCGCTGTTTCCATCGTTAATTGTTAACGAAGACTTTGTATTTTACACTTCACAGCTTTGTTTCTAGTTGCGTGTTTTGCCGACGAAGTCGACAACGATGACGTGAAAACAATTCGCGGAAGTAATGTCTCAGTCAGAATACTTGCTCGCTCAGGTAAACTCATGATTGTTCGAAATGACGACGACGATGATAAAGAAGATAGCAAAGACGATGATGACAAAGATGACGACACAGATGATGACGACAAAAATGATCAAGATGATCAAGACAGTGATGACGACAACGACGCCAAAGATGATGATGATGATGATGATGATGATGACGATGAAGATTTCGGGGATGACAATGAGGACTTATTGTCATTTGAAGTGGATGGAATTGAAGAAAAAGATTCCCAAGGAAATGAAGTTGATGACAAGCATTCTGTGAAATCTTTTGACAACGTGAAGTTTACGTTTGGTCTTGTGGACAGGCAAGCCACTTTTCAAGGAATCCCTGTTACCAAGATGAACTACTCAGCATATCTTCCCGACCCCGAGGCCACTCTTGAAATCATAGTTTACCTCTTTCATGAAGCTGGGACAATCACGTTTGGGAACGAGACGTTTGCTGTGCAGAGTGAAACCGTCAAGTTCAACATTAAGGTAGCAATTAAAAATCTTCTGCTGCTGGCGTCAATAGCTATGCACACACTTGTCTTTCTTTAGATACGTATTACAAACTTACAGTATTGAAAATCATGATTACCTGAGTTAACAATTCGAGGGAGAGAAAAATCTTAAACGCCCAGTCAGGTTTAAGTACACAATCTCAATCCGAATACGATAATCTACTGGTTTAGGAAAGGGAAAGGTCAATTTCACGATCCTGGCACTCAGTCTAGCGGTATATGTTAACAATTTGGATCAGTATATTATAGGGGTCGTTGAATTCGTGCGGGGATTTTAAGCGGTTTAAAGAAGGATGCATACCGTTAAGAACTTGAATTGAACAACATCGTTATACCATCTTGTAAAAAGGTCCTGTCAGTTGCAATTTGACTTTTGTTCGAACGACCACTGTCTGGTCACACGTTGTATCCGCAACAGACGATATGTAAAAACATAGGGAGACCAACATATTGACATCTGCGTATTTTATCTGGCTTCCTTGACTTCAAGGGTTTTCTTTTAGGGTACGGGGTAGGGAGCTGAACATTCCGTCACGTCCAGTTTAGCCTTTCTGACCCTCTGATGTCAATTTATCTTTCAATTGCCTCCATGCTTTGATTTAACACCAGTGCTGAAACGACGTGTTTGGTGAAACCAATTTTCTTAACAATCATTTAACTTAATTGTTTCTGTTTGCTTTCTCATCATAGATAAGTAAATGGGATTTCTGTGACGATTCGCCCTCAGACTGTGGTAGTGGCAAAGCGGGAGAATACCTTGATGTTAGTCTTAAAGTCAAGAGCAAGGGATCACCAGAAGAAGTAGACGATGATGACCGTGAGAAGGAAGATAAAGAACCTATCTGTAAGGACAAGGATGATAAGGATGATGACGAAGAAAGTGATAACGACGACAATGATGATGATGATGATGATGATGACGATGACGACTGTCCCAAAATATTCGACTTGGGCGGGGAGTCGGAAATGCTACTTAACCAAGGGGTAAGTTGATGAGCCTGAGTGGTGAAGATTTCTTGGTTCGTAGAAAAACCTAACTGTCGTTTGGAGTAAAACGCTGACATTTCGAGTGCCAGCTCTTATCATTGGAGCAAATAAGAACTTAAGGGCCACGACTTCTTCTTCTGCAGCCATGTAATCAGAAGAATGGTCGCGCAGATCAAAAGGTTTAAAGGGGATGGTTTGTAGGCGAGTTTAACATTATATTTTACAGTGCTCAAGAGTTCAAGGAAGCGATCATTAGCTCATTGCAGAGTGTGCACATCTACATTAGGCTAAGCATGTGATGGGAATGTCACGTGTATTAATTAACAAATGTCTTTTTCCAGGTCATGATCGATGATGATGACTACACTGCAATGCCGGATGAATTTCCCAAATTCGAGAGAGACGACGACAAGACGAAATTCGTGTTTCGCATTCCGAAATTCGGCAAAAACGTGTTGGTTGATCCAAGCGTCAACGTAGGCAAAGTCAAGGTCGAGAAGGTGATCTTGCAGAACACGGCTTCCTGGTTACAGTTCAATCTTGCTGTTGCTGTCTTCTTTCAAGTTGCTGCCATATTTGTAGCTCAATAGCAAATTCCTCAGTGTAATATGTCTCAACTAATACAAATAAATTAAACCTGCAAAATCAATAGTGAACGCACTAATATATTACAGAGGTACGGTAGAGAGAAGTAACAAGTCTATATACTATGAGATACAGAAGTATTGTATGTTAGGAAAAACGAACTTGCTTGTTTTTAAACTAGACTTGTTTTTCATAAGGCATGCAAGAACGTAATTTCCCCATACTGACTAGTGAAGATTGGAGACTGCGAAACCTCTTCTCCTAACCTTACCTTTCTCTTTCCACTGCAAATGTTAAGAACATGAAATCTTTGTTAGCTTTTTTTTACCAAGAAAACCCAATTATTACATGTTTATTTATTATCCTTGATATGGATCTCAATATGGATACATTTAGGAGTTTGGATGGCACTTGATGGACAAACCATGAAAAGCGAGTATTTTCTCCCCAGGTTTTTCCATATCCTCGTCTTTTTTCGTGATGAACGTTCAACCTCGTTGACAAATCTTTTGAGCTCGATTACGACAAGCTAACTGACTGGCACACCTTTCAGTTTATTTTAAATTAACTTAGATATCACAGTACATCTATGATCTCATTCATGCGTACTTGTAATAAAGAATACCTTTTATGCTTATATGTGGTTAGTGATTTAAATTCTAAGCCTGCTGTAGGCGCTTTAACGCACCGGGGAGTTAAAAAATAACGGGATAATTATTTAGCTGGAGTCTTGTTGAATCTGACGCGTGCTCTTGTTGGTTGACTTATGGTCACGTGAAAATGGTTGATTCTAAATGTCGCCAGGCGGGCAACAATCGCTTAAGTGTTGCCCTCTCTTCCACTAACCAGAGGTTACTCAGTGGTTACTTTGACTTCTTCTTGCCTTATTACTTTACACTAAACTCCAACTACATAAGAAAACACTTATTCACAGGTCCCTTGGGAAACAGTTTGTTGATGTTTTTCCTTGACTTCGCCTCGGGAAACATCAAGATTCTCGGGACAACAAAACTGTTTCCCTATGGACCAATGATTAATGTATTCTCGCTAAGTCATCAAGGAATTCACAAGATGCTGTAATGATTAAAATGCTATTTTTGAAGCTGCAGGCAAAGGGCAACAGTGTTTGTAGTGTTTCTTCCGCGTTTATCGGCCTACATTCGTACTGTCACATTTCAGACTCATTGCCGGATTCAAATGCTGCCAAACGCCGTACAATATGTCTTTCAAGAACCGTATATGAAAAGTGTATGCGCTTCGACCAGATATAGAGGAAAAACGTAGCACTATGTGATACGCTCTATGACTTTATGAGATAAATTCTTTGAGCCATGTAGTATTCCCAAGTCAGATTTGTCTGCAATACTAGAATTTGCCCAAAATGTTACGTTGTAGAGTTCTTTAAAATGAGACTTTTATTAGTCTACCATTCTTAATAATGTCACTTTGGCCTAAGGAAAAAGAGAGCTAATTTCTGTGTAAACTTTAAAGTATTCCCAATAAAATAAATCCTCAAAAAAAATTCATTCTTGACAGAAGATATGTTGGACCAGTCTCAACTTGTTTGTGGCCCTATTAAGGGTTTATGGGATACAGAACTGTAGTTTTCTAACTTTAATCGGATTGGACATTTACGTGGACTTTAGATGAAGTACTAGATAAGAAACTTTGAAACCCGGATGTTAGCACATGGTTTTGGTCGTGTAGAATTTTGGCTTTGTAAAAACTGATTAGACTTGTGGAATAAATTATGGTCAAAAAACTTTAAATGTTTTTGAGTTGAAGTATCGGCAACAAGGGATATTTAGGTAAAAAAAAA